ACACAAGCAAAGTTTCCCTCCAAGCTGCCGTCAGTAAAAATCAAGAAAGTTCGCCGCAAACTCCTCGAAATTTTCAGCGGCGCAGAATGGAGAGCTACGTCCCTGAGGAACATGAGGGACTCTCGGAGTTCTGTAGGCAGCATGCCTTTTGATGCACTTCGATTTACCCAGTCGCTCAGGACGTTCAAAGCTTGAGAAGATCTGCGTCCAAAAAGAAATGAAGTGTACCAGTGGAGCCTGCCTCGCAAGCTTTCGGCTTCAGCGTGCGAAAGGCGGTTGGACTCAAGAATGCGGGTGATTGTCGCACGCAGCTCATCCCCACGTTCTTGAGTATGACCGATGGTCACATATCCTTCGCCGAAATGGCTCAAATCGATGATAAGGCCGAGCGCTTTGAAAGCCTTTGCGAACACAGTGGCTTTCTTGCCAGCGCGTGCAAAGTACACGTGCAAAAGGTCAAGAAAACTGGTGGCTACTTCTTCCACTAGGTCGCAGTCGGAATCTTTGGAGAAAATCGGGAAATCGTCAAAATAGTTGGTCCATGGGATTCCCAATGCGTGGGATCCCAAGAACCAGATCGCAGCTGCACATCTGAGAAAGCTTGACACACTACCCGTCGCTCCGAAAGGCAAGGAATTCACTTTGAAAGTGCGAACGTGTCCGCTTGAAGTGTCTTTAACGCCAATCCGTAAAAGGTCACGATCGAAGGGATGTGTGGCGTACTGTTTGTACGCCGCAGTCAAATCAAGTGTCTTCCCTGAGATGCTAACTCCTTTGCTGCGAGGGTCAAGCATGGCTCGCAAGAGGAAGGCAGCGATGTATTCGACGCTCTGTAATCTGTATTTCTCAGGGATGCCTGCTAACAAGTTGAAAGCACAAGCACGGCAGTCGTCTATGACTCTGACCTTCGGACCTTGTAAAAGCCCAAACCGCTTGGCAACAAGGACCGTAGAAAGATCTGGGTTTTCGTCTTCCTCAATCCAACCTTTGTCAACTTCTTCAAGTGTTTCAGCCCAGGCACGACGAGACACCTCATCAGGAGCCTGTTTGGAGAGCTTCGTCAAGGTGGCGGTGTTTCTGGACTTTGCCATAGAGAGCTGACTTTTTAAGGTGGAGGCGGGAGGCTTAGGGTCAAAGGGAAAAAGACCCGATCTACAAACCCAGCCCGTAAGCCTAAACCCCTGCGTCATGTGCTTCACAAGGTGGCGGTCTGGAAAGTCGTGCTGTGTGAGCAATTCGTCCATCAGCAGAGTTGGCTTTGCATCCAGAACCTGCGCCACATGGATGGGCCACTCCTTTTTGCACAAATCCTGGGATTCGGAGAGGTCCGACCGTAGCTCGGTCCAACGCTGAACTTCATGCAAACCTTTGTCTGGCTGTTTGACACTGCTGTTCAGAAGGTTGTCTATTAGCAAGGTCATGTGCGGATCGGCTTCGACATCAAGAAGGGATTTCGGGTGACCGGCTGCCACGGCTCGACGTAAAAAGTCATCCGGTTCACGGGGGATGCCAATCCATACAACTTCAAGCACTGGAGAATGCTCAGTCGGAGGCAATAAGCCGCAGACATCAGAGAAATCCTTGGTCGGTGTGTGCGCATCGTGCGTGCAATGCTTAGTGGACCATGTCCAGGGGCTCGACAAGACATCATCGACCTTGCACAAGTCAACAGAAGGTAAAACGCAAACCCGAACCAACCCCGGATCAACAAGTTTGCGTCTTACTGCACGGGCTCCTTTAGGGTAGCATCTCAGGAGCTGGAGCACAGGGTGCTCGGCACGAAGAGGCACTGCCCAAGCATCATATTTGCAGAATTCGCTGACCAATGGCCGGGCTTTACGAGATTGCTTGCCCATAGCAGGCCGTAGGTCACGACCTGGAGGACCAAACAAAGATGATGTAGTTGGCGTGAAGCCTGAGTGCTGGCACAGTAACTCTACAGCACGATCCCAAAGCAAATGAGGCCACTGTGGGGCCGAAGCAGCTTGACTATAATGCTTGTGGTCCTTGGAGCAGGTTGCCTGCAAAGGGCGCAACAAAGCAGTTGAGGCCCACCAGAAAGCGCGGCGATCCTGGGCCCCTCCATGCATGCATTGGTCAAATGTAGTCCATTCACCGTCTGCAGCTTGGAAGAAGCGTTGGCAAGACGGCATGTGCCAGAAGCGCGATGTAGCAGGGTGCAGAATCGCAAAAGGAACTCCCACTGCCCTGCAATGCGAACAAAGCTGAAAGACAGCATCCACCAGCAACTCAGCGAAACTCCATGATCCAGTCTTTGACGTGAAGAAAGTACTCAAGCACGGGACAGTGAACTGCACCAATGACGTAGCACCTGCGTGCTCGGAAATCACCTCCAGGAGCACCGCAAGCTCATCGGCCTGCGTTATGTCGAGAGGTTGAATTGGGAATTGGGCACGCTGGGGCTTAAGGTCGAAGGCTAGGGCTCTAAAGCCGGCTTTGTGCGCGGCTTTGCAAAAGGCGGCATCGCCAGCGAATACATCTATAATGACTCCAGAGACGGTATCAGAAGCAGCTGTGGTTGTATGGCTGAGTGCAGGAACCGAGGCAGGTGCATCGGTACCACCCGGGAGCGCAAAACCCAGGGACCTCAAACAGCTATCATCTGAAACTGGAATTTTGGAAATTCCATACACACTGAAAGCCACAAGTACAAGACGGGGACCGTTGGTCCAGTCTAAAGTTTCGTGCTCTACCGTCGCATCAAACGTGACGGGCCCTGCTGAGACCAGCAAATCCTCAGGACCACTAGGGTGATGCAGCCTCACTGCACCACCGCAGAATGGGCGAAGAGGTGCAACGCCATTCAAAGACCCAGGAAGATTCCTGAGGTCACGGTGCCTGCGAGTTTTTACATCTTTGAAAAGGCCGACACTTGTGAAATGAAAATTCGGGAATACACTGGCGGCGAGAGTGGCAAGGAGACGCGAGGCCAGTGGGTAAGCTCGCGCATTATGCCTGACACCTACAGTGCCACAGTGGTAGTATGCTCCAGTCGTGAAGGCACGTCCTGACGGGGCGGCTCCATCACTTCGAGTTGGAGTCTCGCTTGGTAGCATGTTCGAGAGTTCAAGCAGTTGCTCAGATGAGCAGTTGCCATGCTCAAGAATTTTCGAAGCAAGTGACTCACAAGGGTCACCTGGAACACTGGATGTGCTCCCCATGAACGCAGCGAAGCTGAAATTGAACGCGGAACATGCCGCGTTGACATCAGCTTCAGGAGAAAGCACAGAGTCACGTTCGGAATCATCGTGAACATTTGTGAAAGGTTTGGTGACACTTTCGGCCTCATCTTGGCCGACAGACTTGGGGTGCTGCCCTGACACTCGGAATTCACATGCAGGATTGGGGCTGCGAGATCGCAGCCTGGGCCCCTCAGAAGAGGGTGCAACACTGATAGGAGCTAGTCACTCCTTAGGGGAAGACGAATCACTCTTGTCGCCCTTTCCCTTGCCTTTCTTGCCTTTGCCTTTGCCTGCTTGGGCGAACCAGCAAGAAGAATGCCCATGGCCTAAGCGCCTGCACGTCATGCAACCGTGAACACCACGGCTGCAAGCAGGCGGACTGCCCTTGCACTCGGCATTGCACTTACCGAGATTGAACTGCCAACAGAACCGGTTGCCTGAAGAATCAGCATGGTACGGGCACGACTTCAACTCCTCAGGCAGATTTGCAGTTTTGATAGGGGCCTTGAGCTTAGCGTCTCTCTTCTTTTGGCGTTTGCTAGGCCTCAGATCAGGAAGGGATGATCCGACCTCACCTGCGAGACTCGGCGAAGCGACTCCCTGAGAGGCTGATCCACGCTGAAGTGGCTGAAGATAAGTGGTGATCCGAGGGTCATGACGGAACCGATTCATAAGAACATCCATCTCCATCACACCACTGCTGTCAGGTTTGACACGCTTGACCTCACGGGCTAAAAGCAAGAAGATTTCGGAATCTGCTCGCAAAATTTGCTGCATCGAAATGGGTGCGTACCCCGGAGGAACATCCGATGACAAACATCTAAGCAGAGACGCGACCCACTTCTCGTGAGTCTCCCACTCCATGAAGCCGCACATGAAGAAAGCCAAGCCTCGGCGCTGGAGACACCATTGGACCTCCAAGGGAGTCCCATGCTCAGCGACGATTTTATCTGGAGCCGGGGCCAAGGTGACTGATTGCTCCTGAACAGTCAAGTACTTTTGCTTGTCACGAAGCCCTAGCTTGAGTTCGGCATCCCTCTTAGTGCACTTCGACGGTGGGATCCAAACCACCGCATTCGACTCGCCCATATGGGAAACTGCATCAATGAGGGCATGACTCGGCTCCATCTCATCCTCGATGACAAGGCCTTTCAAACGCCTTTTGGCATCCGCAAGTCGGGCGGATTTCTCTGCTGCCGGAAGTCTTTTTCCAGCATCTGTTGAATCCCCTTCTACGAGGGCGCGCAACTGGGCAATGACCAAAGTCGAGGATTCGAAATGAAGTCTTTTGAGCTGGCTCACGCGGCCTATGGACGCTGGGCTCCCGACAACTGACTCAGCAAAAGCCTTAAATTCTGCTTCCGTGGGTTGCGCCTTCGGAGTTCCACAGCTGAAGGCCAAGGCTGAGTGAGTTTGCACCCCCGAGGCTTGCAGCAATGTGTGAAGAGAATCGTCGCCACATATCTCCTTACACCTAGCTGCAAAAGCAGCCTCGCTGTCAACGAGGGTCATGGCAACTCTCAGCACTATGGGCTTGTCCGTCCTAATGAATTGAGACAAAGCTGCTGCACCCGACTCTCAGCGTGTGATCCATCAAGCAAACTCACATGTTGAGAGAGAAGGATCAAGACCAGAGAGAGAGGGAGGAGAGAGAGAGAGGGAAGAAGCGAGCAGAAGGGACGAGTTGCGGCACATCGAGGGGCAGCTGCCTGTCCTGATGATTTTGGCTCACGACCCGACATGAAACCCTCTACCATGACACGCACACACTCTCTCTTTCCACTCCCTCAGCAAAACTCAGTCGCGCCCAGGGTTAGCTAGAGATCTCTTGCACTGCTTGCACACTGGGGTATCGTACCTCAGCCGGCCAGGCTCAATGAAGGGGCTGTCGATAGTTTGCAACGGTCTTCCGCACAGCGTGAAGCTGCGGTGCCCGGTCAACAACAAATGCAGAGTTTTGAGCTTGCGATGCTGCATGAAGAAGGTACCTTCAGGAGGCGAAGGCGGGGGCATCAGCCTGGGCTCCGGATTTTCTCCCTCAGAAGAATCGGACGACTCGGATGAGGAGCCTTCCGACGACGTGTCTCCGTCAGAGGAGACACCGTCATCGGGATTGACTTCGGAGATGTCTTCCGGAACTATCTCAAAAGATCCCTGCGGCGCTCGATCAGGCATGAGGCTCAGGTCGCCAACACCCTCAGAAAAATCGGGACTCGGAGGTTCTGTTCTGTCCGATTTCACACTCATGACTTCGCCTCCCGCCTGGGAAGTGCACGCATCCGACTTCACGGCCTTCGATGCATGTGACGGTGCCCCCAAGGAGACAAGATCCCACTGAGAGAAGCTTTCAAGACCCCTAGCGCTGCTGTCGCGATTGCTGCTGCCAAGGTGGACTTCATCTAGCGGCTGAGGTTCCGTGGGAGCGGCATGGGCGACACCTGTGGGCAGCTCGGCCCCTATCAATTCCTCATTGGTGCGCCCAGGAAAACGGGCAGCCCTGCCAGCATCTGGTGCAAACTTTCCTAGCCTGATCTCAGACAGCATGCCCGCCAGAAGTCGCAATGGGCGTGCTAAGGCATCCCGCGCATATACATCAGCCATGTGAGCCCCATGGAAGTGCCCGCCTAAGGCCAGCCGGTCAGTGTGAGCTAACCCTCTCTTAGCTGCAAAAGACAACAGAGTGGCTTTCAAGCTGTGGGAGGTGGTGCGCCGGCCTTCACGCCCAGGCAATAGCTCTCGGAGCCACGCACCTGCTTCGTCAGATCCCAAAGCCCTGACCGTCGGGGCGCCAGATTTGTCGGGGGCGGGCATGCTTGGGTACCCTTTGTGGTACTCGACGCCTAAAGCCTTTCGGACCTCCATGAACACACAGAGCCAATCTTTGCCATCGAGGCCACGGCCTACCGCAACTAGCTCAAGACACTTCGGAAGTTTTGAGAAGAAATTCATTGTCTTATGCACATCGATGAAAGCTGAGCCGAACTCTGCAAAGCCCTGGTCGTTGCACTCCAGAGAGAGCGAGTCAACATGTTGGAAGTCGCTCCATCGACACCTGGCGTAGATGCAGTAGAGGGACACTCCACACATGAGACGATCCCAGAGATCGTCCCCTTCGTAAAGTATTCGATGCATCTCAAGTATTTCTTCAACTGTGAAAGGGTCTGCCTTAGAGGCAAGAGTGGCTTGCTTGGCTGAGGACAGGCCCCAACATCTCTTGCTCTTGACACTGGCATGCAAAGTCGAAATGTCAAATGTAAAGTGCACGAAAGTGATCGCTTCCATGATGCCTCGCAAAGCTGACAAGGATGCACCACCGGCTTTGCAATCTCTCAAAATCGAGTAAAGAGACGGCTCCTGCATGGGCATTGTGAAGCCTTCGGAAGCTACAGACTTGCCCAACATCAACATGCTATTTGCACGCTTGAGACATGTACTGGGAGCTTTGCGGGCCAAATAATCTCCCAGGAGGTCATGACAGGCCTCAGGCGAGGCGGCTTCCTAAAGCTGACGGGTGACAGGGGAAGATTCACTGTCCCAGCTTGCAAAAACTCTACACCACTTGATAAGCGCTCTGCTCAAGTCGGCTTCTCGCTGATCTCTCCAGGAGATCACAGCACGATTTAACACAACTCGCTCGAAGGTGACTGTAACAGCTTTGCGAGCACGTTTGGGCCCAGGCAGCTCATCTGCCTCTAAAGCCTCTTGCAGGAACTCCACCGGAGGCTTAACCTATCAAACCTGGGAAAAGACAAGAAGTCGTCAGTCGTCACAACAGGCTTGAAGAAGTCGCTCCAAAAACCTTCATCCCAAGGAAACTTCGGAAGCTCGTCACGAAGGCCAAGATGCGACGAGCGCAAAAGGCTCCTATAACCTTGCGGATTATGCTCGATGCCACTGAATACTGCAGGAAGCCCGGGCACAGATTCAGAACTCAAGCCAATACCACCTTCAAAGAAGGCATCAGCAGGCTCTGACTCAACTGCAAGCTCGGATGGCTCCCGATGTGAGCTGATGCACTCCCTGTCGCTCGAGAAATCAGGATTCGGGTTCCAGGAGACAAGATCGTCTTGCAGAGTCTGCTCTACACTCGCGTCTGGGGCCTCTGACAGAAGCCTGAAGGCACTACCGGCAGTTTCTAAGTCCTCAAGAGAGCCAGGCTGATCCATGGCACCCGTCACAGGACGGGTTTTCCCTCCTCTAAGAACTACCCACCGGCACGCACTACGCCACCCCCCCAGCACAAAGTTGATTCACTTCATGCCGAAGGAAATGGACTTCCCTCCCACCCTTCCCTTGAGAAGAAATGCGGATGCGACAAGGTATTCACAAGACTCAAAGGAAACAAAGTTGGAAAACTGGTGCTGTCTGGTGTTCCTGGAGACATTGTAGCACTTACAGCTTGAACTCGACGTCGAAGTCTTGACCTTTCTTCGATCAGCGTATCAAGACCTTGATCTTGCCTGTGCCTGCCTGCCTGTGCCTGCCTGTACCTGCTTGTGCCTGCCTGGCCTGGTGCCTTTCTGCCTGCCCCCTGTGCCCTGTGCCCTGTGCCCTGTGCCCTGTGCCCTGTGCTCCTGCTCAGAACGTCTCTGTGCCTGAGGAAGGCATGGACTTCGACCTGTTTGGACCAGGACCCGTGGGACCTGTAGGACCTGTGAACAGTCCTGCTGGGTCGCCGACAGCTCAGCAAGCAAGCAGCGGCTGCACCTGCGAGTGGTTCTGCAACAGTGCCAGAAGGTGTGAGTGGTCCGGCTGTAGCGCCGGCGGCTCCTGCTCAGTGTCCGGTTCCTCCGAACCCTGCGTTGGGAGGTGAACAACTGCAGCAGTTGATGTTGCAGATGCTGAACAACCAGAACACGGCTTTACAGCAACAGCAGAATCAGATGAACTTTCTGATGCAAGCTCAGAGTGCTCAGTTGACCCTCTTGAACCGCCGTTTGGACGAGGAAGAAGCCAGACGGAAAGCCGACGAGGATCGGCGAAAGGTGTCTTCGGACCCCTTTGCAGCTGCAGTGGCTGCTAGCAGTTCGGGAGCAGCGCCGACGGCGCCTACTGGGTCGCTTGTTGCCCCTCCGAGTGGGCCTGCTGCGAGTTCTGGAAGTTTTTCGAGTTTTGGTGGTCGTGCAGAGAAGTATCTGCCACCCCTGCCTCTCATCAATGCTGGTGAGATGAAGCAAGGCCGGATCAGGGAGCTTGAGGAGTTCCACCGCTTTCTGGAAGTGCTGTCCAGCTGGCTAGCATTGACCGATGACGCCTTTGTTGGCGAGCTAAGGCAGTGCTTGTTTGTTGCTGGTGAGATCCAGCAGGTTACTTTGCCCAGTGACACTGCGGGAAGAAGTGCACGTCTTTTTTACCTGTTGCAGCAAGCTTTGGCAAAGTGGGACAGAGGATTGGAGATCCTCCGGAGTGTTTCGACACGCCAGAGCAATGCAGCTGCAGGATATGAGGGTGTGAGAGAGCTTTACCGGCAGTACTCTGTGAACAGCCGCATGGAGGCGGTGTATATCAGAGACGAAATGCTAAAGCTCCACACAAAGACTGCAGCGCTGAAGCGCCCTCTGGAAGTTGTGCGTTTCCTCGAGGACGAAATCTCCAAGGGAGATAAAAAGCTGGTGCGTTTTCCCGACCTCTGCTTGAACGCCGCCGACAGATCGGCCATTTTGCTGCAAGCTGTGTCAGTGCAAGCGAGAGAGTACTTGGTGCTGCATGGCAAGACTGGCAGTTGGACCGAGATGGCGGAGAGTCTTCGTTTTTACGAGGAGCAGCTGCGCATGGTGGAGCTGCCAAGTGGTGGTTTGCGCGGTCTCAAAGGAGACAAAGGCGGGAAAGACGGCAAAGGCGCGAAAGGAGGAAAAGCCGGCGGTGCCAAGGACAAGTCCCAGATTGTCTGCTGGTACTGCGAGAAGAAAGGGCACTATCAAGAAGAGTGCCGCCAGAGGATCGCAGATGAGAAGAAGCAGGGCAAAGGCGACAAGAGCAACAAGCCCAAGGGCAAAGGCCAGGGCGACAAAGACAAAGGAAAGGGCAAAGAGAAAGGCAAAGGCAAGCATGGCAAGGATAAGGGCAAGGACAAGAAGACCAAGAAGCAGCACGCCCGTGCTGTAGCGGATGGCGAAGCAGAAGAGGAGCCGGAGGGAGAGACTGTGATGGCCCTTCGCGCTTCTGGCGAGTTGATTCCGGTTGATGCCCGCGGTGGCGTCTTGAGGACGACTCCTTCGACACCTGAGGTGCCTGCTGCGGCGCACCGAGTGACCGTTGAGCACAGAGTGTGCTTAGTTGGCATTGAGTCGCAAGATAGCTACTGGCTAGTGGATAGCGGTGCTACTTCTCATTGCATGTCGGTCTCCTGCTTCGAGAAGTATGAAGTCCTTCGCACTTATGATTTTAAGCCCACGCTGTCGAATGCCTCCAACGACATGATTGAAGTGTTGAAGGTGTGTGACGTTCGCGTTCGTTTTGGGAAGCTTGTGGTGGTGCTAGAGCATTGCTTGATCACGAACCTAGATTTCAATGTCTTGTCACCGTTTGTGGCTTGGCAGAGAGGATGGCACACCATGCTCACCAACACACCTCATATTTTCAACAAGAAGAACAAGAAACGCATTCGGTTGACTGTCAAGGATCGCGCTTGGTACGCGGTTGCTGCTTTGAAGGATTCTGGGGATAAGATGGAGGTTGATGCTTTGAAGCCCTCGTCGTCCCCGAAAGCAACGGAAAAGCCTGAAACCACGAAACCCCCGAAAGCCACGGAAAAGCCTGAAACCGCGAAACCCCCGAAAGCCACGAAAGCCCAGAAAGCCCAGAAAGCTCAGGAGCAAAGGTCTTTGGAGTCTGTGAAGAGCCTAGAGTACACGCCTTTTAAGTTTCTGCTGAGGAGCTTGAGGACGCACGGTGGTAGTGCCGTTTCGGTCTGTGAGGGTGCTGCTCTGGAGTCTCTTGAACGCTGTGAGCTTGACCGCTTTGGCTGTGGTAGCAGAAGTGGCAAGAAAGATTCTGAGGCTCAGCCGTCGTGGACCGCTGGGTCGATGATGATAAGTGTTGTGAGCTTGTGGTGCATGGCTTGCGTTGGCGTGCTGTGCTCCCTGTGGACCTTAGTGAGTGAGTGTGCTTGCGAGGTTTCAGGGTTAGGGTTTCTTCAGGATTTGCGAGGCGGTTCCCTGCGGAGGCTGCAAGGTAGTGCAGTGCGTGTCGTGAGGGAGTGTGCGTGCAAGGTTTCAGGGCTAGGGTTTTGTCAGGATTTGCAAGGCGGTTCCTCGTGTAGGCTGCAAGGCAGTGAGTGCGCGAGGTCAGTACGGCGTAAGCTGCAAGGCAGTGAGTGCGCGAGGTCAGTGCAAGGTGGTTTCAAGTGGAGACTGCAAGGGTGCGCAAGGGTCGTGCATCGTAGTTTGGTGCTCAAGCTTCTGTTTTTCACGCTCCTCGTTTTGTGCGATGGGGCGTCGACGAAAGAAGCAGCCGGAGCCCCCGGTATCCTCGACGGACGAGGAAGAAAGGTCGTCGCAGGCGGCAGTGATGGCTCAGAGAATGGCGGACCTCACCGCTATGAAGAGCGCTGCTGCTGCCCGACGATCCGATGTGGTGACGGTCGCATCGGTGATAGAAAGCACGGCTCGGGAGGAATCCGAGCGGAGGCAGATGGAGGAGCACGACGAGCTCACCAAGATTTCTCGCGAGTGGCACAAAATGGCAGTGCCTTCACAGCCAAAATCGCCACTGCAAAAATCACCGCTGCCGTCAAAGCTGGAGGAAGAAGAGGAAGAAGGCTGGGGCAAATGGCGCCCCGAGTCTGGTGTGGCCACGGACGTTGCCGAGGCCCTGGATGCTGCAGAGAAATCCGTCGAGAAAGTGCCCAAGCGCAAGAAGAAGCGGGCATCTCGTGCGACAAAGGAAGCCACGAAGGCCTTGAAGGAGGTCCGTGGTGCGGCAAAGAAGGCCACGAAGGCCTTGAAGGAGGCTGCAGCAGCCGAGGAAGCCGAGGCGGACCTGTGGACCCTACTTTTCCGAATCCACATTTGTTTGTCGCGCCCACCTCGAAGAAGAAGGCCCGGAAGCCCGAGCGGAAGCCAGAGGATGGTGGTCCGGTGACGATGGGCTACAATCGCCAGCTGATGCAGGTGGTTCGGACGGAGAAGAAGGTCGTGAAGGCCAAGAGGCTTGCGAGAAAGAAGCAGCACGCCCGTGCTGTAGCGAAGGGCAAAGCGCTTGCCGAAGGCGCCCTGGAATGGGTGCAAAGCCGCCTGGACCAAAGATCCGAAGGCCGGCCGGCCCAGGAGCCGGAGCAGGGTGCAGTGGACCTACTTGTGGCAGTGGGGACTGCGGAAACCACGGTCGATGGCCAAGAAGCTGTTCCTGTACCTGCGAAGAAAAAGCGAAAGAAGAAGAAGGCCGCTGTCGAAGCGGTTGTGGAAGCCGCTGCCGAAGCGGTTGTGGAAGCCGCGGCCGAGGCTGTTGTGGAAGAGGTGGCACCAGCTGCTGCCGAGGAGGAGGTGCCGATGACACCGGCGCCCTCAGATCCACGTGGAAAGCCTCGTTTGGCTCCAAAGCCAAAGACAGTGACCAGGCCGGCTGTGACTTTGAAGCCGGCCGTTATTGTGATTCCGGATGGGCCACCGCCGCCCAAGGTGAAACCGTCCAGGTCGCCGGCCAAAGTTTCTCCCTCGCCGCCGAAGCCTTCGAAAAGAGCCGTGCCAGCGGCACCGGAGACCCCTGGAGTGGATCCTGCTTTGGTGCCAGTGAAGGCGATGCCAGTGAGGCCGGCGGCGCCTCCGAAGATGGTGCCTGTGAAGGCTATGCCGGCCTTGCCAGCGCCAGCAGCGCCAGCAGTGCCGCTGCCGCCGTTACCGCCCCCGCCGTTGGGGTACCAAGGATCGTTTTTGCTGGGACCGCAGCCGCCTCTGGGATACCACAGATCGCTTTTGCTGCAAGCCCCGCCGACCGATCCAAAGAGCAAGGCACCGATCCGCCCAACACAACGGGTACTCGGTGGTTCGTATGGCCCTCCAGACCAAGGGTCAACGCAACAAGGACGCGGCTCCAAGAGAGCCCGCTCCCGCTCTGTCTCTATCTGAGACCTACCTCGCGACCAACCGCGGGACGCAAAAGAATGCATCTGAAGAGGAAGTGGAAGCGATCTTCTGTGAGAGTAGGTTGCTTTGAGTGTGGTGAGTGT